TTTAGGTACAGGACTGACTGCCCCATGTCCAACTATAGTGGGCCTAGCGGCTTGCTCTCTCACTTTCCTTCTATCTCTGGTGAGTGTATGTGCTCTACAGCAAATTTAAAAATAATAATAAATAAAATTCTTTTTATTTTTTATTTTTTGGAGAGGTTTTTGCTATAGGGTGCGTGCGCTCACCAGACAGAGAGAGACAGACAGAAAGCGAAAAATCACCCCCCAGGGGGAATGGCCATGCCACAATCCCTTCTCCATTCTCCTCTTGGGATCTTGGGCACACACGCACACGCATTGGCGTGAGTTTTAAGCCACCAGGTCCAGGACACGAACCTCAGTCAACTACGTGGGAATCCAGCTACATAGCCATTACGCTAACTGCGGGTCCCAATAAAATTAATTCTTTAGAAAAAGGTTCTGAGAAGTCCTGCTGTTTAGCCCAATTTAAGGCAAACATTTGACCACTGAGCTCTACCCCCCTCCCCCACCCGTGGAATATATGTGCTCCATGAATGTGCTCGAAAAGGCTAAGGAATAACTGAAAAAAATGTACAACCATTAATTCAGGTTCTCTGTCTACAAAATAGGACTTCCTCTTGTGAGTCCAGGCTGAAGTCATGGTTTAGCCAGTGACATTACCTTGGGAATTTCACAGTGCAAGGAAGGCCCCACCACTCCTAGGAGTAGGATGACTTTATATAATTATTCTGTACAACCTTTTTTTTTTAAAGAGATTTTTGCTATAGGGCCCACTTGCTTACCAGAGAGACCAAGTAAAATTACACCCCCTGCCCCAGGGGTGATGACCATACCACAATCACTTCTCCATTCTCCTCTTGGGATTTGGGGCATATATACACACATGCCCGGTATGAGTTTCAAGCTGCTGGGTCCAGGACTTGAACCGTAGTAGGCTATGGGGGAGTCCAGTACCCTAACCACTATACCACCTCTGGCCCCATTCTGTATAGCTTTTATGGTTGAAGGAGTAGGACTTCTAGCTCACCAAATCCTCTTCCTAAAAAACAATGATAAAACAACAAACTTGTCAAAACTTGTTTTAAAAGACTGGAAATTGACCAAAGCCATAAAACAAAGTGAGAAGAATTTCTTCAAGAGAAGTTACTGAACCTCAAGAAGAATGGGAGTCTGGTGGTTTAGCCTGAGGCAGTGCCCATCACAACTCCTCTCTCCCCTACTTCAGAACTTCTACCAGGGTTGTTAGAGGGAGCTAGTTACTGGGAATAGAGTGAAGAATCCCGTATCAGTGTGGCAAACATTCACAGCCCTCCTGAGGCCTCAGTAGTGATGAGCTAGCAATGGACTGGCAGAGCAGTTGGCAGTTCAGACTGAGATAGCCAGGGTGGGTTTATGTTAATCCCTGGTGGTCCAGAAGGCACAGGGCTGTGTGCACCTGAGGAGAGACCTAAGAGGGCCATGGCAACCTTGCCCCTTGACAGCTGCAGAGCCATCCAAATACAAACACTGGAATAGACTCTGAGATTGCACAAACTTAAAACAAATGCTTTCTGATCCTGAGTGGAGAATGGAGGAGAAGGGATTGCGGCATGGCCATCCCCCCTGGCAGGTGAGTTCTCGCTTTCTGTCTCTTGGTCTCTCTTTTGGGTGAGCACATGCGCCCTATAGCAAAAACCTCTCAAAAAAGAAAAAAAAAATCAAATGCTTCCCCAGATCACACATTGCTCAGCCAAGGGTGGAAACTGGCTCAAGGTGTTACAACACAGCTGACCAATCACTGACTGACCAGTAAGCTGTGCTGCCCCAAGGGTGATCCCTGGTAATCCAGGCTTCAAAGTAAAACCACGAATTAAAATAACAGCAATGACGTCAGCGGCTGCACACTAGGGAGAGGGGGAAGTGGGTGGGGAGTAGACCCCACATATTTAGTCAGGCAAATCACTAAA